GTGCCGGGGTGTGGGGCGGGGTCGTCCGGGCGAAAGGCGCCTCCCTCCCTACCCCGATTCGGCGGGGAGCTGGGTAGCAGGGTTGCACGTCCACTCACAGCACCCAGAATCCTTCCTCTCCGCCGTGCGGGCCAGCAGCTCACCGTAGGGCTTGGCGTTTTTAGGATAGCAAGTATGGTTCATTCTGGTGAATCGCATAGGCCTGTTGGGGTCGTGATCACTGACTCCCTGAGTCCGCCCTAGTTTTAAATTATTTTTATGAATGCATACTTGCAGTACGTAGTGATTGAATTTTTCTTGGGGCTTTACTACTGGTACATAATACGTCTGAACCGCTCCCATTTTGAAATGTCAAAGGAGCAACAGAGGTTACAATTAGGAAGCTGAAGGCGTTTTTGGGTTGAAGCAGATGTAAGGACTTCTCGGCCGCTTTCCGTGGCGTGTTACAGTGTGATGAGGGCTTGAGTCTCGAATTCACGTCTCAGCCAACGAGTGTCCCTGGACATTGTGCACAGTATGCAGCTTTGGGGAGATCAGACCTTCGTTGGGTGTGAGGATGGCCTGCTGTTTTGCGGTGTTGGGATCAAACTCAGAATCTCCGGCGTGCTAGGCAATGGTATAGCCAGGTGCTGTGCCTCTAAGCTGCTCCCCAGCCCGAGGCTCCTTATTCTCAACCCAAACAGCAGATGCGCGCACAGATGGGATAGTAAGAGGACCCGGAGACTGACCTGCCTCAGCGTAGTGAAGGGAGCAGGTAATGGGTGGGAAACATCTTGATCATACATCCTTAGCCAGGGCAAGAAGGGGCAGACCATTGAGGTAGCAGGTTTGGAGGTAACACCAGGGTTTTTGGTGGCACAGGAAAGCTTCTGCATTAGAAGCTAGGAAATGTTATTACCCCTCTGGATCTAAAGTAGTCTCTGCTTTTCTGTGCTGCCTCTGAGAAGGAAAGCCTTTGTGTTGGACTGAGATGGTGGGGGATTAGAGATCATTCACCTGGACTTCAAGAGGTTTACGACTGCCCACAAGGCCAATGCATCAGCAAGGTCGGTGGTCAAAACCTGCCTCTGAGGGTGCTTGTATTGGGACAGCATGGGATTTAGGTCAGAAGCCCACGAGTTCTGAAGGACAGGTTAGGCAGAGTAATTCTGTCATAAAGTCTTTCTCAAATGGGTGAGTGTTAAACCTACATCTATAAAAAAAAATTGTAAAATTTGAAGGGGAGAGGAGGCAGTTGCCAGAGAAGGAATCCATGAATTTGTTAACTCTGTGCACCTGTTTCTTCACCTTAAACTGCAGACACTAGTAATCCCTAGCTGGTAGAGTTGTAATATTTATTTTTTTATGTTTAAGTTTTTGTTTTTGGTATGAGGGATCGAACTCGGGACCTTGCACTTGGGAGGCAGGCGGAGGAACCACTGAGCTAAATCCCTGGCTAGAGTTGTAATAAGTATTCTCCATTATTATCATTTCCATTATTAAAGTAGGCAAGAAAGGTGCTTAAATACACATGAAAAGGTGATACCAATATCAGCACTCCCCTGCTAGGGCTTCTATTACTGTATTTTTAGGGTGAGCATCTAATGGGTGTATGTTATGTATGTTTTTGTGTGTAGTGGTGGAGACTGAACCCAGAGCTTCCAGCAGGCTAGGCAAGCACTTTACCACTGAGCTACATCTTCAGCCTCATGGCTGTATTTGTAGAAAGTTTATTGGATGACTCTGAGCAGAGTTAGGATCGAGGACGTATTTGGAAGTAAGAAAGATGGCTTCCGAATGCTTGCGGTCTTGTTGGGGAAGTAAACATAATCATAACAGCATGTTAAAGGCTGTACTAGATGTGAGGTACAAGATACTCGTAACAGAGGAACAAACTGTGGAGCTCAAGGTTCCTAGAGTAGTGTAGTGATATTTTCGCTGGATATTGACTAGTGGGGTAGGAGCGAAAGATGTGATTCTACCAGGTATTGTTAAAGAATTGGGTGTATTCAGAGTTGAGGGATTTTGTCCACAGGGAGCACAGAGTAAGTACATAAATGGGAAGGGAACTGAAGTGAGATTAAGAAGGCAGGTGAGCACTAGGCTGTAGAAGTTTTGGTTTAACTGTGTAAGCAAGTCAAGTGCTATGATCGTATTTGTATTCTAGACAGTGGTTAGGGGCAGCAGAGACTGGATGGTGGATTGGTAGGGATCAGAATTGAGATGATACAACCTTGACCACAGCCAATGAAAAAGAGAATTAAACAATAGAAACAGACTAGCAGAAAGTCCAAGCTGCAGCCCAAATAAGAGGGGCACTGGGCTGGGTCTGAGGGACTTTGTTAGATGGAGTCTGAGTCAGTAGGTAGTGAAGGCATGGTTTAATGTGGTCCAAAAGGGAACTCTCAGCCCTGTGGGAAGGTATCCTGGGCTGTGTCCTGAAGGAGGTGCTGTGTGTATCTCCATGGATTGCTTCCTTTCCTACTTTACACAGTCACTGTCTCAGGACTGAGTGCTCAACTTCCTATAGCTTTTTGCTTCATATGTAAGCTTTGCTGAAATTGAGGAACTTTAGGAAACAAAGTTTTTAAGTTATCCAAACCTTGAATTTCAATGATAGTGGCAGATTGTAGGATTTCAAATGATACATTGAATTACAGAGTTCATAAATTATGTTTTTAATGGAAGCAGTTTAGGTTTTAAAGTACATAGGTTGACACAGCAAGTAGCAAATGCTAATTTTACCAGTGAAATTAAATTTTAAAAGTAAGCATTGGAGAAATTGCTACCCATTTCTGTTCACAGGATTTTTACCTCCTATAACTCCACCGGAGAAGTTTTTTCTTTCCCAGCTGATGCTGGCACCCCCAAGGGAGCTCTTCAAAAAGACTCCTCGCCAGATTGCGCTGATGGATGTGGGAAACATGGGCCAGTCGGTGGACATCAGCGGGCTCCAGTTAGCCTTGGCTGGTAAGGAGCAGTCAGCTTTGGGCTTTCTCATTTGTGCTTACAATGTGCTACTTTGTAACATTCATCTTGCTGAGGTTAAGATCTTTCATTAAAAAAGACCTTTCAGTACTGGATTCAGTGGAGGTCTCTTCATTTTTTGGTCTCTTTTTCTTAATACTCTTATGGCATATAAATTCCTGACAGGCTGGGCATGGTAGTACACAATTCTAACTCCAGTGCCCTGGGAGGTTGAGGCAGGAAGATCACAAGTTTGACTTCAGCCTTAGCAACATAGAGGCTTTGTGTCAAAATAATAAAAAAAGGGCTGGGGATGTAGCCAGTGTGAAAGCCCTGGGTTAAATCACCAGTACTGCAAAATACATAAATAAAATTTCTGGGGCCGGAGATTTAGCTCAGTGGTTCCACTGCCTGCCTCACAAGTGTAAGGACCCCAGTTCGATCCCTGGTACCAAAAAAAAAAAAAAAATTTCTGGTAGATGGGGATTTAGCTCAATGGCCCTATGCTTGCTTTGCAAGTGCAAGGTCATGAGTTTGATCCCTGGTACCAAAAAAAATTTCTGGCAAACTAGTTTTACCACACAATATGCCAATTTAAAATTTTTCCCGGTCCATAGTATGTTATCTAATTTTTGCACTTCCATAACCTGAGATGAAAAATGGCATTGATGTAATGTTACCATTTTTCTTATTAAATAATGAACAAGGTTGATCATGTCAAATATCTAAGGCTTCCACCATTTTTTTTTTTTTTTTTTTTTTTTTTGGTACTGTGGATTGAACTCAGGACCTTGTGCTTGCCAGGCAGGTGTGGCACGACTGAACTGTAATACAGGCCTGACATACATCTTTCCATATGCCTTTGGCCATTTTTCCTTTGGGTTGATAGTCTTTAATCAGGAATTTAACCTTCTATTTTTAAAATGAAAGATCTGAAACAGTACTTCTTAAAACATGCATTTACATTGTAAGGAATTGAAATAAAGTCAACCTAGAGCAGTTGCCGTCCAGGCTAAGAAATGGGATGTGCCGGGCATGGTTGCACACATCTGTAGTCCCAGCTACTGGGGAGGTCAAAAACAGCCATGGACAACACAGCAAGACCCTGGTTTCAAAACTAAACCAAACCACACCAGTGACTCCCTGTATTTCTCTTCCTTTTCCTTAACTTTTGTGATAATCAGTTATGCACGCCTGTAGTGTCGTGGTGTACACCACTGCACTTTATATGTATGGAATCATACTATATATATTTTTTTGGTACCAGGGATTGAACTCGGGTCCTTGTGCTTGCCAGGCAGCTAAATCTCAGGTCCACATACTAGTCTTTTATTTCTTTGGCTATCTATTGAGAGATGGCTGTTGCAGCATGTCATGCATTTGTTACCTTTCATTGCTGTTGCCCATTCATATAATGGAACATCAAGTCTATACAGACATAACATTGCTATGAACATTTCTGTACATTATTCTATGGTACATGTGAAAGTGTTTCTAGAAGAAAGATAGGCACTTGTAGGTGGTGGTAAATTGTTTTCCAAAGTTGCATTTTCATTCCCCCCAGCAGTTATGGGTTACCTTATAGCCATCACCATTTTATGCCAGATTTGTTATTTTTTGCCAGTCAGGTGGGTAATAGTGTCTTCTGTTGTAACTGAACTTTGCCTAGTTCCTGACATCTTTTCCAGGTATTCATTGGCCATTTATAAAAAATTTGTTTTTTTTAAATGCCTGTTAAAGCATTAGTCTGTTTTTTCCAATGAGATGTTAGTTTTTAGGAATGAGAAAACTTATTTTGTATGCACAGAGAATCTAGCCCTTTGTTTTTGTGTTACAGGCACATACCCCAGTTAGTAACGTGTCTTTTCACTTCCCTTATGGTGTTAACTTTTAAATGTCTCCCATTTTAACTTTTTTTCAGAACGCCAGTCGGAACTGCCAACGCAGAGTAAAGCCAGCTTCCCTAGTATTCTTAGTGATCCAGACCCAGATTCTTCTAATTCTGGATTTGACAGCTCAGTGGCTTCTCGGATCACAGAATCTTTGGTCAGTGGACCCAAACCACCTATCGAAAGTAGGTGTATATATAAATTCATTTTACACTATTCATTAGTATCCCCTAAAACCTTTCAGTTTTAGAAATCTTGTATTTTCATTGCTAAACTTGAATTTAATGTGAAACTTCCTAAGATAGTGTATAATAGAAATGCCCAGTGAAAACTTATTTTTTAAAAAAATTAAACACAAATTTATTGTATTTATCATAAGCATAGCCTGCAGGTATAAATTCTTGATTTTACTGAAATCTATTTTTGAAGCTAATTACCTAAAAAGAAGGTAGTTTATACCTCTTTAATAATCTTATCACTATCTTTTCCGCTTGAAAGTTTTACAGATTTTAGAGCTCTTAATTATTTTAAGTCAAAGAAACACTTATTGAGCTTAAGATAATGTAGCTGTCTCTCTTGGTTCTGCAGCCACCCACTTAGACTGACGGTGATGGTGTGCTGCTGCTCAGTGATAGCATGCTGCCTGGACCACAGGTCACTGGGAGTCCGAAATGTCATTGCCTTTTCGTACCATTTGGTTTACACTAGAGCTTTGGCATAAGTAGTCAGTCACAAGTGCCTGCAGGTCTGTGGTATGTGACAGCTTCTATTCAGTACAGTATTTGCTCAGGCACAACTCTGAATTGCCTGGGTCACCAGGAAGGCACATGTGAAGCACATCAGTCAGAATGAGTCTGGCCACACCTCAGGCTCACACAAGGAGCACTTCCCATTGTGGGCTGAAGACTTATTTTCCCTTTGTAAGTGGTCTGAAGGGAGTCTGACGCTGGTCAAGAAAAGGCAGTGCATGGTAAGGTGATGAGAGTCTGAGGATTTTTGGCCAGAAAGCAGGTGATGGCAGTAAATAATAATCTCTACTTTGGCAGGAATAAGCCACCACTGCCCTCTGGAAACCACAATTAGATGTGACATTGATTCAGTAGAGGTTGGAACCTACTGGAGTTCATTTTAGTGGGAGTGTCACATTATCAGGTGTTCTTTTTTCCCCCCCAGTACCAGGGATTAAACTGAGGACCTCGTGCTTACCAGACAGGCACAGCACCACTGAGCTAAATCCCTGGCCCCACATCAGCTTTGTTTTATAAAATAGCTTAACTAGTCCCTTCACTCTCCTGTTGTACTTTTGTTTCATTAAAATACCACGCATGCCTGTGATCCTAGCACTTGAGGCTGAGGCAGGATTGTTGCAAGTTTGAGACCAGCCTGGGCGACATAGTGAGTTCCAGAGCAGTCTCAACTACATAGTGAGACCCTGTCTCAAAAAACAAAGCAAAACAAAACAAAAAAAAAATAGATATGGTATCATAGCACTTCAACATTCATGAATTATTCTGTATTCATTTGAAAATGTCAAAAAAGTGAACACATGTATGTACTTCTGTCATTTCATCATATAATTTGTCACTTCAGTGTTATAAGCGAAGTATAAACGCTAGTGGTCTTGGAATGAATACTAGTGGCAACTAAGAATAGACTGAGTAAAGACACAGAGCATCTCATCTCATCAAAGACTTACTCATTGAGCAGTGGGCACGTTTGAATTAAAAGCTGTCAGATCATGGCTACATTTTATTCTCTCGCCAAAAAGTAATAGGCTTAGCCTCTGGCATGGTGCTCATACAGTTTTCTTGTATTCCTGTTTGTATTCTGAATGAAACCCTTTCAGTAGCGTTCCTACTTCTAAGTGTGGGTTTTTTGTGTTTGGTACTGGGGATCAAACTTGGGACCTTGTGCTTGCAAGGCAGGCAGGAGCACAACTGAGCTAAATCCCCGGCCCTTTAAGTGTTTTATACTCCATGAAGTGAAATGCATGTGAGATGCATACACATGTTTGCTCAGAGAAGCAGTCATACACCACTACTTTTATTACAGGCCATTTTCGCCCAGAATTTATCCGTCCACCTCCTCCGCTGCATATTTGTGAAGATGAACTGGCTTGGCTCAATCCCACAGAGCCCGACCATGCGATTCAGTGGGATAAGTCCATGTGTGTTAAGAATAGCACCGGGGTAGAGATCAAGCGAATCATGGCCAAAGCCTTCAAAAGCCCTCTATCGTCTCCCCAGCAAACACAGGTTTGTGGGTATTACAGGCTTTTTTAAAAAATCCATCAGTTATTTTTGTTTTCCATAGTGATAAATGAGCAGTAAATGAAAATACTGCAGGCACGAGCTGGCAGTAGGAAATCTCAAAGGTGTCTGGACCCCTGAAGCTCAGTTTTGGTATTTTAGCTCTGCTGGGGCAAGAGGTCTGAAGATTTAAAATATTCCAACTTTGGTTCTTGAAGTTTTCTCTGGGAGAGATGGATTGTGGAGGGGGGGTTCTCACTTTTGGGGCCCCACCCAGCTGTGTGCAGCAAGCACTATATGTGACCTTGCATATGAGTGGGATGGTAAACTTGGAAATTGAGCCCAGCACACAGCTGGCTGGTGGGGTCTGACAGAAGTTTCTGCTTTGAGAACCGCATTCAGTCTGCACATTTTAAAGTGAGAACTAGGAGAGAGAAACAGCTCCAATCCAGTTTATCCTCAAAAATATTTAGTAGACCCCTCTGAAACAGGAAGAGAGCGTAGAAAGTTTGAAAGGAGATTCATTTGGCCAAAAAAGTATTTCTGAGGATATCTGCAATTGTAAGGCATAGGTGTGATTGAGTGTCAAGCACCACAGGGGTGACTTATAGCACCCTAAGGGGGTATTTCTTTTCTCTACTTGGGTAGGTTGGGGCTATTGTTACTGCTGTCTCCTAATTCTCTGTAGTTTGGGGGAGAACTTGTTGGTAATTAGATGACTCTTGATTTGTCTCTCTCTCTCTTTTTTTTTTTGGTACCAGGGATAGAACTCAGGACCTTGCAGGCCAGATTACTTTTGTTTCTTTTGGTACCCGTTATCAAACTCGAGTCCTTAGGCTTACAAGGCAGGCAGCAGCACCACTAGCTAAATCCCACGACCCCCAGATTACTTTTGATTATTACTTTTGATTTCAATAGATAATAGGTGAAACAGTTCCACAGAGAGCTAGGGGATGATACATTGTTGTCCTCAGACAATACTGTATCTAACCATACAGTATGCAGTTCAGTTTCTTATCCAAGAGGAGGAATTGCCAGTGGATTTGTAAATTGTGTTGTATGTTTCAAATCTAAATGTCAAGATATGACTGATGGGTTTGAAGAAACTTTGCCTTCTGGAAGAAAATTGCCAGTTTGACTCAACCTTTTCTTTCAAAATCTGGTTTACTTTAGCTCCTTGGTGAGTTGGAGAAAGACCCCAAACTTGTTTATCATATTGGCCTCACTCCAGCCAAACTTCCAGACCTAGTGGAAAACAACCCTCTGGTTGCAATAGAAATGCTGCTGAAATTAATGCAGTCCAGCCAGATCACCGAGTACTTCTCTGTCCTGGTCAATATGGACATGTCCTTACACTCAATGGAAGTTGTAAATCGGTAAGTGTTACTACTCCTTCACCTATGTGTAGACACATCCTGATGATTAATGGCCAGGAGGGAAAAGCTGTAGCATTTTTTCCTGCTCTTTAGTCTCAGATGACCCATTAAGGAGATATGTGAGCCTCACGTTCAGGGCCTGTGAATTTAGCATCCGTTAGGAAGAACTCAGGCTAGGATTCCAACATACTCCATGTTTATAAGAATAAATGAGACGGGCCGGGGATTTAGCTCAGTGGTTTGCTCGCCTGCCTTGCAAGCGCAAGGGCCCGAGTTCAATCCCTGGTACCTGGTACTGGTACCAAAAAAAAAAAAGCCAGGTGTAGTGGTGCACGCCTGTAATCCCAGCACTTGGGAGGCTGAGACAGGAGGATCACTGTGAGTTCGAGACCAGCCTGGGCTATATAGTGAGTTCCAGGTCAGTCTCAACTACATAGTGAGACCCTCTCTCAAAAAATGAAAATAAATAAATAAATAAAATAAAATAAAATAAAATAAAAAATAAATAAATGAGGGCTGGGAATTTAGCTCGTTGGTGGTGCTGCCTGCCTTGAAAGTGCAAGGTCCAGAGTTCGATTCCCAGACCCCCCGCCAAGAGTAAATGAATGAATACTTAATTATCCTGTTAAGAATAAATTAAACTTGGGCCGGTGATTTAGCTCAGTGGTTCCACTGCCTGCCTTGCAAGCACAAGGGCCTGAGTTCAATCTCCAGTACCAAAAAATAAAAAATAAATTAAACTTAATTGCTGAAATTTGTTTCCATATAATTAAAATCATCTGCACTCTTAGGTATTCTATTTACTTTATCTTTCAGACTAACTGCTGTAGCATGGAAAAGGACAGGGCTTCCTTTTTAGATCCTGTCTCATTACTTTGCTGTCACTGGCCATCAGAAAAGGGTGCATTTCCTTACTTCCAGGCTCTGGACATTGCCTGCATATATTACATTTTCTTTACATTTGTGTTTTCAGTAAATTACAGATTACATGGCCTTGAAGGGGCTCATGTGGGAGCCTCGAGTGCCAGGCAAGTACAGTTAGCAGTTTTTGAACACTTTGTTGTAAGTTGGAAATTTTTTTTGCGGGGGTGGTATTGAGGATAGAACACAGGGCCTTCTGCATGCTAGATAAGGACTGTTACCACTGAGCTACATCCTCAGCCCTTTTTAATTTTATACTCAGAGACATATGCTCAAATTATTGCTTAACACATTCCCTCTGCCTTGAACCACTGGTCTTTTTAAGAAGCTGCTGGATGGGACAGTCATGCACAACCACTAGTGGTTCAAGCTCCCCAGCGGTAAGACAATTGAATTATGGCCCTGTCATGAACATGTTAGTATCTGCATTGTATAGTGCTAAGTATAGACTTAAAAAAAACAGAAGTGTCACTAATGAGTAAGTGGCTGTTGGTTTGGGGTTTATGTCCCAAGAATATGTAAGTAAAACTAGAAAATTGGGACCAGATACAAGAAATTTTCACCAGATGATCAACAGGTAGCTTTTTATGCTATGGTAGCAAAACTAACAGCACCATTTTTCTTTTATGCAACAGACTAACTACAGCTGTTGATCTACCTCCTGAATTTATTCACCTTTATATATCAAATTGCATCTCTACTTGTGAACAAATTAAGGATAAGTATATGCAGGTAATAAAAGTTTCTGTGAGTTTCATAAATACCTATTAGGAAAATGAGTAAACTAAAACTCGTGTTTTCTTTTTCAGAATCGTTTGGTGCGTCTTGTGTGTGTCTTTCTCCAGTCCTTGATTCGTAACAAAATTATTAATGTGCAGGACTTGTTTATCGAAGTGCAGGCTTTCTGTATAGAATTCAGTAGGATACGAGAAGCTGCAGGTCTGTTCCGGTTGTTGAAGACATTGGATACTGGGGAAACACCTTCGGAGACCAAAATGTCAAAATAATACCTCATTAGAAGTACCCTACCCTATTCATCGTTCAACTGTATTGTGCTTAGTTTTTAAAACTTGAATTTTTTAAAATTCAAGAGTGGATTGCTTGCTCTAATACATATACATTTATGTACTTAAAGCAAAAATGTTTTTCCAGGATGACTTTTTCCTATAGATGAACTTTTGTAAGGACCTAGGAAAATGTCTTTTAAGTGTCTTGCTGATGACTGTCCGTAGTGGACCCCTAATCTCCAAAAATACTGAAAGAAAGGAGGTGATTCTTTTCTTATTCCTTTTTTGTGGTAGCACTAAAGAACAAATTGCCTGCTTTTGGTTAAAAGGCAAGATACAGGGTTCTTATAAATCAGAAATCCTTTCCTAAGGTTCCAGTGTTAAAGACATTTTAAGAATTTGTGATATTTTGCTTGTGGTGGTGACAGCAGTTGGGTGTAGCTCTTGCCATCTCATGAAGAAGCCTGAACCAAGACTGCACTTGTAACTATCCTGCTTTTTGTGGGGACTTTTAATTAATAGAACACAGAATAAAAATGTCTCCCGGGCCTTTTCTAAATACAGGAGCCTTCAGGAACCTTTTCTATTTTCTTTTTTTTTTTGGCACTGGGAATCAAACTCTTGGTGGCGGAATCACTGAGCTAAAATCCCTGGTCCAGGAACCTTTTCTAGCATTTTTTCTTTCTTTATTTCCCCACTCGAGATAATACTGTTACTAGCCATTTTTTGGTCTTAATTTTAAGGAAAAAGATGAGTATTTGGGAGGTGGTGTTGCCCCCAGGAGCCCATTGCCCGTGGGGTGGTTGGAGATGAGAGCAGGGTGGTGCCTGGCTGTCATCCTCTGACTTTGGATAACAGTGCCTTCCATTAAAGTTCTTTATTATCAACTCTTCTTTTTTTCTTTTTCTTTTTTGTACCGGGGATCGAACTCAGGACCTTGCACTTACTTGTGAGGCAGGTGGCCACACCACTGAGCTAAAAATTGCTGCCCATCAACTCTTTTTTTACTTGAAGAAATCATGAAAAGATTCCTTTTGCAGAGGTACTTCCAAAGCACATTTACAGAGAAGTAACCTGTGGAGAAAACCCTGAGAAAGCAGTATTTGAGACTGATAAGATCTAGATCTTGGTGGGCATGGTGGCACACACCTGTAATCCCAGCACTTGGGAGGCTGAGGCAGGAGGATCACTCTTGAGTTTGAGACCAGCCTGGACTAGATAGTTCCAGGTCAGTCTCAAATGCATAGTGAGACCCTGTCTCAAAAGACAACAAAAAAAACTACATCTTGGTTATTCTTAGGAAAGTAAGGGTTTGTATATTTGCTTGGAGGAAATACGGTAATGACATAATATGCCCATGTAACAGGAAGAATGCCTTCGAGTGACTAAAAGGATAGCAATAAGGCTGATCTCTTAATGCAGAAAAGCATGCACCTCTTGTGCAGATTAGCACTAATAAGGAACACTTGTAGAGTGGTAATTTCAGTGATGGCCATTGCTGGGAAACAGTCCCATCTTAAGGTTTCATGCCCGATGGATTCTTGAGCAAAATACAATGCAGAACTGCAGGCCAACAGCACACTAACTTGTGCTTGAGTGCCAGCGTCTCTGCGTTCGCTCAGGACAGGGCATAGCACTTCACTGTGCTCAGGGGCCACTTAAGAGTGAAGCTACCAAAAAAGTACAAAAACATAAAGCATGGCACTACGACAAGTAAAAGGATGCTTGAGTGAAGTGCAGCGCCCCCTTGTTCAAACTCTGGAATGTGTTTTTGTCCCCATTACTGCCAGAAACCTAAAACTAAATGTTGAGCAACTCAAATTTTCACTGCTCTGCACATATCTGCAAAAGGGTTGCATGTGATACGTGGGGATCATAAATTTTGGACAAATTCTCAAACAGGAACTGCAAATACAATAAGGAGGATATGAGGCAAGTGCCTGAAAGATTACTTACAGAGTAATAGCTGGAGGAATAGAGAACATTTTATAAATAAAAGTTATAACATCACCAAGCAGGTTTTTTATTTTTGGTGCAGTGTCAGGAATTAAACTCGGGGGCTCACATATGCCAGGCAAACTGAGCTATGTTCCCAGTCTTAATTTTTGGACAGGGTCTTAAAGTTGTCCAGGCTGGACTTGAACTTACATCCTTCTGCCTCGGCCTCCCAAGTAGATGAGTCCAGCACAAAGTCTTGGTTAGACATAAAGACAAGCTGGACATGACACCTATATCTAGTCCAGCTACTCAAAGAGGCTGAGCCAGAAGGATCACTTGAATTCAGGAGCAGCAAAATAGCAAGACATCAAAAAAGACCATCTACCTAAAGTAAAACCATAACCCTGAGGTTTACATTGTTTTAAGTGTAATTAAACGAGTTTAACTCAGATTTTAAAAAATAACCTTGAATTCGTGGGATTTTCTTTAGTTCCAACTTCCAACTTTAACATCTTCAAATCACCTGTTGAAGAAAGAGGATAGTGATAAGTAACATCATAGAAGTTATTTCTAAAGAAATTGTCTGGGATCCTAAAAACATGAACACTCCAATAATTCCCATCAATAATATTTATTCACGTGGTCAGCTTTACAAAAATGGTATCAATTTGCTTAGCACATACTCATTTACAGCTAATTTTTAATAGCAGACTTAACATATTCTAAGTGACTCATTTTCCATGGAGAATGATACTCCTTTAAAAACATGGGGCATTGGGCTGGGAATTTATAGCATAGTGGTGCTACCAGCCGCACAAGGTCTTGAGTTTGATCCCGTAGCAAAAGGCAGGGGGGATATCTGGAAAATTAATGAACAGGAAGAACTTTTTACATATTGGAATTCTAGCAACTTCTGCTTACTAAAACTGCTGATTGTGTTTTCTATCTGGTCTTTTGTTGTTATGTAATCATTAGAGTTGATACCAGAAAATTCGCTAAGATGATCAAAAGTAATCAGCTGACAGGAAGTACTACTATTCCCTGGTTTCTCACTAGCCTACCTACCATACAGGTCCACAATTCATCAGCCTGGCGGATTTTCATAGCTTTTTATACTTTGTTCTACAAAGGGAATATCTCTGCATGGCTGATTATGACATTTCACTATTATAACAAGGAGTACAAGGACTAATATTTTGAAAATGAAATGCTGAGAAGTGTTTTTAAGACCCTAAAGTAGCAGCTCTTGAAGGTGTACCCAGGAGGCTTTTCTAACTAGCTGCTGTGTCAGAACACAAGTTACACCACAAAACTAGCTCTGCTCCAAGCCAACACCTTGAGCCTCTGGGAATCACAGAGCAGGGGGTTATACTGAGCCCACGGAAACTGCTTTTGACTAAACATCATAATCTCAAATTCTAGTTAGCAATATATGCATCCTGATTTAATTGCATACATCATTGAAAAAATAAACTTTAATGTGCTCAAAAGACACTGCTGGCAGCTCAAGCTATCTCCCAGGGGAGTTTACACTTGTATTTCATCCACACAGACACATGGCACACCTGAAGTTCTATTCATTTGACAATTCTAACTGTCCTTGGTCAGGCGCTTACTACCTGGCCTGGCCGGAAGCTTCCACCCTGGCACTACTGAGGTCAGACTGCTGTTCGCTTCAGGAGATTTTGTCATCGTGTGCCCACACAGAGAGCAAACTGTAGATGGGGACACTGCAATTCGGCCTTTTACCATCATCATTCCTCAGTAGGCACAGAGAGCAACGTCATAGGAGAGGGCCTGTGTGCTCAAGGCCCAAAGGAGCTGGCATGTGAGGAACGATTACCTGCTGGTGGGGCCTCATGTTCCCAGTTCTGTGGCTGTGTGTTTTCTGCGGGGAAACGGCATGCTGAGCAGAACAGGCTGAGTGAGGAAGCCAGGCGGGTGGGCGGGGAGACGGCAAGCTTCGGTGTCACAGACACGCCACCTCCACACTGTCACCTACAGTTTTCAAAGTTAAACACTGCTCCACTTCGTAGTGAATAAACGGCTTTCATGACAACTGTTAGACGGAAAGTGATTACTGCCATCAACAACTACACTAAATCTCGGATTTATTATACCTTTCACCTGGGACTGTTTTCCAGCAATGGCCATCACTGAAATTACCACTCTACAAGTGTGCCTTACCAATGCTAATCTGCACAAGAGGTGCATATTTTCTGCATTAAGAGATCAGCCTTGTTGCTATCCTTTTAGTCACTTGAAGTCATTCTTCCTGTTGCATGGGCTTATTAAATCGTTACTGTATTTCCTCCAAGCAAACATACAAACCCTTACTTTCCTAAGAATAACCAAGATGTAGTTTTTGGTTGTCTTTTGAGACAGGGTCTCACTATGTAGTTGAGACTGAGCTGGAGCTCACTGTAGCTCAGGCTGGTCTTGAAATCATAGTGATCCTCCTGCCTCAGCCTCCCACCCACGTGTGCCACCATGACTGGCCTCTTTATGGCTTTTTACATGTACAAGCTTCTTAAAGACAACATGCTTAGAAACCCCTGTCGGCCTCTTACCTAGCAATGCTGTGTTTTCCCCTGCGTCCTCGGCACAAGTGGCAGCACAGTGAGGCCCCACTTCACTGGTGGATGGTAATGAGGATGATGATGATAGCAGGTTGCTGCCAGTGCTTCTGTCTTCACCCAGGAACACTGCACTCAGAGTCTCACCAGAAACACTTCCAGGGCCAGACGATGCAGCTGCAGCGGGCAGTGCCCGCCCCCCCTCAGGCTCTCCCTGGGGAATTGCAACAGAAGAAAATGCTTTTTCTAAGTGATGCAAACTTTACCTTACTGTTTTGCTAATAATTCATAGCAGTTATCATTTACTTTTGACCACAAATTTGAAAAGAATCACATCCCTTCTCAAGAAGCAGCTTTCTAGCACCTATGTATTTGCTCTTTGTAAAAATCAGCATCTTCCCTTCCATATAAGCACCCTTTTAAGCTACCTCCTGACAGGGCTACTTTCCTAATCTTCTGCTTCCCTGGGGAGATGACAGGAACTGGTCCGGCCTCAGACATGATGTCTGTCATACCCAAGGCCTGGGTTGCCCTGCATCCCCAGAAGAGCGGCCCCCGCAATGCACTCCTGTCTTCCCAGACACCCCAGCAGCAAGAGGGCCTCCTGTGACAGCCCCTCCTATGTGTGACTCTTGCCATGCCGTGTCTGTGGTATGCCCTGTCCTCACCAGTCCTGGAAGTGGGGCTGTGGCTCGTCTACCTTTGTCTCCCAGAGGCCAGTTTGGATCTAATGCACCCAAGGCACCAGTGCTTGTCAGATAAACAAAAATGGTGACCAGTGCACGCTGATGGGGTTCGGGGTATGATCACCATAAGCCAGTTCGAGGGTCCTCTGGTGGGTCACTGGCACATGGGTATGAGAAAATGTGGAACTAGCATGTCATGCCATTGAGAATTTTCACTCCAAGAGGGGTCCACAGGTCTGAAAATTTATCAACCAAAGGCAAGACAAATAAATTCCTTAGCCTCAAGGTTATTACTGACTTCTAATCTTCAAAAATCAAATTAAGGAGTGGGGCGTGGTGGGGCACACTTGTAATCCCAGCACTTCAGAAAGCTGAGGCAGGAGGATTGCTGTGAGTTCAAGGCCAGCCTGGGCTACATAGTGAGTTCCAGGTCAGTCTCAACTATGTAGTGAGACTGTCTAAAAACAAAACAAAAAGCAAAAACAAAGAAACAAAACAAAACCTAAAAAACAAAAATGAAAAAACAAATCAAGCATTCTGGGAACACGTGTTCTAGCATTCTGAAATTAATGTTCTACAAATGCAACTTAACCTTACATAAAGTGAAGACTGGGTTTTTAATAGATATATGGAACTTATCTCTCAAAACAAAATCAGGATGAAAGTCTGTGAGCTAAAGTCAGGAAATTTTCTTTATACAAATGTTCAGAAATGAAGGAGGTTAAAAATTACTAATGAAGAGCTGGGTGTGGTGGTGGCGCATGCCTGTAATCCCAGCACTCAGGAGGCTGAGGCAGGAGGATCGCTGAGAGTTCGAGACCAGCCTGGGCTACATAGTGAGTTCCAGGTCAGTCTCAACTACATCGTGAAAACCTATCTCAAAAAAAAAAAAAAAAATTACTAATGAAGAAAACAATTCAGTGTGAGATTCAGTGTGTGCCTGGTGAAGGAGGAGCATCTGAAGACTTTGCCAAGAAAACGAACCATCAAGCTCCCCAAGTCCCGTCACTGAAATGCTGAGCTGTGAACGAGCTTCTGGAGCAGATGGCCTCAGACTGTCAGGGACGCAGTCTGCACCACAAGGACAGCTACAGTGGCTAACACACTCATAATGGGGACGGAATTCCTACGTCTCACTGCCGGGCAGCTTGAACCACTGGTGTGACTGTAGGTCAGGCAGCTTTTTATTAATTTTTACTATTAGTAAGACCGATAAAAACAATTAGGTCTGTTTGTACCCCCAATGGTACAAGCTGGTGGGAATATATTAAAAAGTACTAAGTGAACGTTAGGAAACTGGAGGAAAGACAGATTTTTCAGGACAGGAAAGGATGAAGAGGAGGCAGCAAGTCAGTTCTTGAATGCTGACCTCCCCCTTCCTGTGTGCTTACAGCAAGGATATCCTGGAACTCACAGCTGAGACACTACCACACAGCAGAACTCAATGGCTAAGAGTCAATGTCCAAGCACCCTGGCCACACTTGCCCTCTGAGTGTACACAAAGCCCAGACACTCTGGGCAGACCTGCAGCCTGGGAAGTAAAGGTCTTGTTCAGCAATGGTGTCAATCCCTCCATGGCACCATTATACATGCTTAAATGGCTATTAGGGCTTAAGGTGCATACAGTGAATACCACAGAAAAAATTCCCTATAGTTTCTATTGTACAATAAACCATAAAATACTAAAACTGTGTACCAATGAGAAATAAATTTGATGCTTAAATTATTTTTTTCAAAGTTTTAAATTTAAAACTATTTCTTCTTTGTACTTTGAGATATTAATAGACTGTAGTATGGAAATTCTAAAAATAATACAAAATATAACAACCCAGAAAAATCTGTTTTTTCCTGCCTTCTTTTTTGGGAAGGATAGTAGTTCAGAACTTAGACCCCAGCATTAACTTTGGTTTGAAAGCTGGACAAATTTCTCTGGTATTAAATTTTGAAACTCAGAAACAGGGAAAACTGACATTTTAAAATATTGGCTTTAGGCTGGTTGTGGTGGTGCATGCCTGTAATCCCAGCACTCGGGAGGCTGAGGCAGGAGGATCGCTGTGAGTTCGAGACCAGCCTGGGCTACATAGTGAGTTCAAGGTCAGTCTCAACTACATAGTGAGACCCTGTCTCAAACCCCCCCCCCAAAAAAGGCTTTTGTTTCCTCATGTGTAAAATTGTACCTTAAGCCAGAAAATGTATGCGGTATCTGCTGTTGCATACATTTTGATTCTTGTTTGTATAAAATTGGCTGGCATATATACATTTTGCAGTGCAGTATGCCAAAACATATTGTTCTAAGTAACTGTAAACTCTGGGAAACATCCAAGCATAGTAAACTATCATAAATTTAGTTCACTGATTTTTTTTTTGTTTTTGGTACTGGGGATTGAACTCGGGACCTCCCGCTTGCGAGGCAGGCAGCGAAGCCACTGAGCTAAACCTCCAGCCCATTTCACTGATGTATTATTGATTAAGAATTCATCTTTATTAAAGAGAACAACTTATTTAGAAAACCAAAAGGATACCAGGAATATCTCATCTGTTCCTTCTGACTTTGGTCAGTAACAAAATGAAATCACTCAGAAGAACCAGGGCAAGAGATGGGATAAAAACAGAAATGTAACAAACCCAATATCCCAGGGCTTTGATGACATCAAGTTTACACATTGGACATGTTTGGTGATCCAAAAGCCATGGGTCAATGCATGTGCTATGAAAAATATGCCTAAAAAGATTAAGTATGTGTTAATGTTTTAAAGTAAATGTTTATGTATCTTATAAAGAAGACATTCTATCAACGCACCCCTCTTTACACAGTAGCCAACATAAAATCAACAGTCTAGTTATTTAACCTGAGTTATTATCTATTCTACTTTCCACTTCCAACAGTCACAAAAGGCATAGCTTATTTCTATCTCGTGCTACGTTTTAGTTTTATGTGATTTAGTAAGTTGTTTACAAGCCTTTTGGGATTAAATGTGGCATGAACTAATATTGAGTGTCTTATGTAAGGACATAAAATGACTCAAATGGAAATAGTAACATTACCAGGGGGTAGGCTTAAAAACATTTATTTTACATCTTATATATTTTTATGCACTCTGTATTTTTCTATAATGAGCACATATCACTCTCAGAATTTTTTTTTCCTCCAGTACTGGGATCAAACTCATGACCTTGCACCTACAAGAAAGGTGTGGTGCCACGGAGCTAAATTCTCAGCCCTCTCTCAGAATTTTTATTTTTATTTATTTATTTTTTTTGAGACAGGATCTCACTATGTAATTGAGACTGACCTGGAACTATTATGTAGCCTAGGCTGGTTCTGAACTCAGAGAGATCCTCCTGCCTCAGCCTCTCGAGTGCTGGGAGCACAGGCATGCGCCAACATGCCCGGCTCTCAGAATTTTTATAAAGCATATTTTCTTTTGCCACTTTTGTCTTAGTTGGCCAAATTTTCCCTTCTATGTGACGAATGTCAGGTGTTAAGAATACGGACAGACTGGACTCACTCCTCAGCTGTGTAACTCTGAACCAGACTCTTTCCTCTCTGCACCTACACCATGGACTGCCCTGGGGGCACCACAGACTGCCCTGGGGGAATGAATACAGAAGATACACAGCACCAGGCATGGCATGTACCTAGGGACAGTTAATTATTACCACTGTCTTTTCTAGACCTTTCCTTTAAACAGAAATCTACTAGTTTGGTTAAAAGTAACAGCTCTTCATTATCTAATAGTCTAGTCCAGGGCTGGTAAACCTATAGCATGCATGCTGCAGCAGGCTGTCTGTTATCACTGAAAGCTCTAAAAGGTTTATCATCACTGGTTTGACTTATGAATCCTCAAACTAATTAAAAAAACCACACACACAGGGCACAAATACTAGTTTTATCAGGGTGTTGCACAAAGCACAGGAGCAAACTAGAGCAGAGTCAGCTAAAATCCCAATAAGGGAAGAAGGCAACATGCACAAACCCAAGCTTGAGGGTCAACACAAACCATGGCTGTTGGCACAAACCTCACGCTGCTCACCTGCACAGCATGCTGAGCAGCACTTTGAAGTCAGGAGACCTGCCTTAGACCTACAGGATTTATTTTCTACTTTGTGTGTGTGTGTGTGTGTTTTTTTT